ATAACGATTAAAACCCTCTCCCGGAGATAGGTAAGATAGGCGGAATAGCTCGCTACTATAGATTTTAGGGTAGTCTATAGGGTAGGGAGCCTTAACGGGGCAGTGGACGGCGTAAGCAGACGTCTAGATTATATAGACCCCGACTATTCCGGCCGCTAGCTAAACTAGGAAGACTCCTCTGTTATATTAAAAATACTATAGCGGTAGATTAACCTAGAAGAGCCTATTACTAGCTAAGATAGCCCGGTACGGGCTATAATAGTAGTTAGAAAGACAGCTAGTAATACCTCGGGTTACCGCTACGACCTATAGGCAGAGATAAACTAGAGCCTAGTTAAGAGAATTCGGAGAGATACTACTATAGACGAAACGGTAGGGAAGGTCTCGAAAGCTAAAGCTCTAGATTCTCTACTAATATAGACTTAAAGATAGACGTACGAGGACGGCCTATAGCGCTAGAACGACTATATCTTTGTCCTAGAAGGACTATTAAGGCTCGAAATACTCCGAGAATACTACGATAACCCGATAGCGGGCTACTTTAGGTTCTAAAGGACAATCGAACTCGTACTAAGGAGATTCTAGTAGCCTAAGGTACGAAGCTACGTAAAAGACTATACTTCGAGCTATACGACGTATACTAGGGTAAAACTAAGGAGATACAAACTATACGGCCTATTAGTAGCCGAAGACGCCTTAAGTACCCTATAGGAAGACTTGACTATAGACTTCGTTACGGACCTCCCTCTATCTACCTTTATAGGCTATACCTACGACTGTATCTATATAGTAATAGATAGATACTCTAAGATAGCCTATTATACCCTATATCGGAAGGATATAACTGCCGAAGACCTAGCCGACCTCTTCCTACGAGACGTATTTCGCTTATATAGTATCCCGGTGTCGATAGTAACAGATCGAGGGACGCTATTTACCTTAAAATTCTAAAGTACATTCTACTACTACCTAGGCGTTCGGAGGGGCTTAAGCACCGCGTTCTATCCGTAGACGGATAGATAGACCGAACAATAGAATTAGACTATAGAACAGTACCTCCGCGCCTACTATAACTACGAGTAGGACAATTAGGCAAGGCTGCTTAACATTGCGGAGTTTGCCTATAACGATAGCTAATACGCTTCTACCGGCGTAACCCCGTTCTAGATCTGTAACGTTAGAGACCCCGTATAGGCAAGATAGCCCGATATAGTCTAGAACGGGGGGAATGCCCTAAGGGCGGAGGACTTAGCCGACAAAATAATTAGTCTCTAGAAGACCCTACGGGAGAGGCTCGTTAAAGCTAAGCAGAGTTAAGCTAAGTACTATAACGAGGGGCGCAAGGCAAAGAAGTACGTAATCGGGGATAAGGTATACCTATCTACGAAGAACTTGTCTATAGTAAGGGACTCTAAGAAGCTCGACTATAAGTATATCGGACTATTCGAGGTTATACGCGTAGTTAACGACGTAGTATATACCTTAGAACTACCCGACGATATAAAAATATACCCGACCTTCTATATAAGTATACTAGAAGACTATATCGAAGCAGAATATACTAAGAAGGACTAGAATAGCCCGAAATCGTTTAAGATAGACGACCCCGAAGTCTATAAGGTAGATAAGATTAAGGGGTAGAAGGTAGACAGGTAGGGACGATAGGCATACCTAGTTTTATAGAAAGGGTATAGAGAGGAAGATAACTTCTAGGAGCTAGCGAGCAATATTAGCCCTATAGCAATAAAGGTATACCAAAACTGTATAAATCGGGAAGTAAAGGGTTAGGAAGTACCTAAGACGATATATATTAAGGCGTCAAAGCGGAAATCCCGTAGGAAGGGGGCGCCTTAGGGCAGAAATATATAGAACCCGTTATATAGTATATATAAGGAAACGTATTGATAATTTACTAGCGAGAAAAAAGTATTATTGCGAAGAACTATACAAATAGAGGGGGTATTATCTATAAACACCCGAAACACCCTAGAAACGGCTTAGAGTAGCCTAGAATAACCTAGTAACCCTAATTCGCCTAAGAGGACTTATTATTATCTCTACTATTATCCTCTCCTATAGAGGAATTATCGCCTTCGGAATTATCGGCCTTTAGGCTAGTCCGCTTTATCGCCCGAGAGACTTTTAGTAGCCGCAACTTATAGAGGTCGTAGCGAAGGGGGGTTTTAGCGGAGTGTTTGCTTTAAGACGGGTTAGAATAGCCCGGAATAAGCTAGATAGAGGGAATATATACTAAAACTCGATTTACCTAGTTAATATACTTATATAAACTACGGATAGTAGTGTTTGCCCGCTTAAGTCGGGACTAAGGGGCTACCTAGTCGGGTTGTACGTATACAGAGGCGACTTTCTTCTTCTTTAGGGTACCCTCTATACTAAGCGCCTCCCTCTCCTACTCAGCCCGGTAACGGGCAATAACAGGATTAACCTAGGGTCTAGACTTATCTATCTAGGGACCGCTAAGATAGATATAAAGATTGTTAACCCCCTAGAACGAGGGAAATTTACTAAACTTAGTTAGTAACGCCCTAAAACGGCCCGGAACGGGGCGACGGGGAGATATATACCCCTTAAGGGTCTTATAGAATGCGTCGGCAAACGTCCTAGCCTTTACTACGTTAGCCTAGCGCTTAGCAGGCGTAGTATCGTCGAGATCGTTTGTACGACGAAGGCTATCGATAAATTCGATACTGCCTCGGAATACTATAGGTACCTATAGAAAGGTTAGGACCGGTCTAGGCTAAGACGCCCTAGAATAGGCCGGAACGATACCTAGAAGTAGTAGCTAGACCGGGTAGTATACTTCTAGTAAGATATAGGACTAGTATCTTAAAGACTACAGAGGGTATTATTAAGGTCCGTCTAACCGGTCCCTATAAAGGGGCGGGGAAATAGGTAGAGGTACCGAAGGGTATCGACGACCTCGGCGTCCGATACCGAGCTAAGGACGCTAATATAATTAACGTATAGATTGCCGTTAGGCAGTAAGGCGGTAGCTATAGTAGGACGAATTAGATAGGTATACTACTATCTAAATTAGCTAAGAATGCCCTAGAATAGGCCGGAAAGCCCCGGTTACCCTAGAAGGAGTTATTAAGACAGAGGGTAGGAAAAATAGTTTACTTATAAAATTTTAGGAAAGCGGCAATATTAGTATAAGGAGGGAGAAAATTATTAGGAAAAGACGCCCTTTTCTATACTAAAAGAAGGCATTCGCCGGAAAAGGCTCTATTAGATTCTAGGGCGGACGAATACGATCTATTACTTTCTATAGGTTTATTTACTTAATACCTTATTGTCCTAGGAACAAAGAAAAAAAACAGGGGCCTATATAGTCGAGGACAACCGCAAAAACGGGGGAGGCAATATTAGGATCTAGACTAGACAGCGATATAGATATCTTAAGACAGACCTAGAATAGCCCGGGAGTACCTAAGATAGGCTAGAACGGGCTACTACGACTTAAGAGGGTTTAGGCTAGACCTTTACCGCCGATACCGAGTTAAGATAGTTTATAGAGAGTTAGAATAGGAGATTTTAAATCGAGATATTCTAAATTAGACCCGAGAGGCTAGAACCTCCGGGTACTCCGAAGATACACTTATAAACAGAGGGAGAAGACGTATTCCTACTCTTCTCCTAAGCGATTCGAGTAGTACATTTCTATTAGATACTTTAGCCTACACATCTTATCCTTTTATACGAGGCCTCGCCGCGAGCACTACGCTTAGTATTCTCGACGTCGTAAGCGGTATAACGTACTATATAGTACGCGTCGGCGGCTAGAATAGTCTTACCTCTACGATCCGAGCGTATAATTACCGGCGCGTATCTACTATAGTATAGGGTCGCGATATACTAAGCGAGTACCGAAACGGCCGATCTACTAGTAATTCCGACGTAAATCTACTCTATATACCGCGCGTATACGTCGATTGCGCTATATATCTAAATACTCTAGTACTCAAACTTATAGTACGTATCTATCGAGATTACTACTAACGGCCTAGGTATAATAACAGTACTATAGTACTCTCTAGCCTTCTCGTATCGCCGCTAAACACTATCGGGATTAAGCAATTTAATAATACGGTAGATACGGTCCCTAAGCAGGTTAGCCGATAGCGATTTAGCAAGCGAGCAGATAGCGAGCGCCTACGTACCTCCTAATTATATTTATCTCTAAACGTAGATATATATATAGGTTCCTCCTACTATATACCTCTACCTCTAACTTAGCGAGCTCGTCTACGAGTACTATAGCGATTAACTTTTTAGTATATACTTACTCTACTGCTAGTATCTGCTTCCTAAAACCTAGCTCTTTACGTATATGCCGATATATCCTCGTACTAATTTTCTAGCTATTAATCGCTAGAATCGTAACTGCCTCGCTGTCTATAAGTTATAGCTTAGTATAGGTATATACTATATATATACGTAAGCTGTCGTCTTTATCGAAGATATCGTACTATCGACGATATAAAGGTACGGCGGCTATAGTAAGGCCCTAGGCTTATAGCCGTCGTTCGAATATACGCTCTACGATAGAAATACCGAACTACTAGTATAGATTAGCGATAATCTGCCTCTATAAGACACCTTCTTCGAGCTACGCAGCGATATAGACCTAATAGTTATTATAGTCTATAGCGCGTAGTCCTCTAGGTACGTACGTCCGAGGCATATTAGTAGGTAGCGACGGATACGGCGGTAACGGCGAGGTAGGCAGCGAGCGTATAGCGAGTATATGTGGTAGTATATAGTAGGTAGAAGGGTAGAAGTAGTAGGAAAATGAAGCCAAAGAAAGCCGGGGGTGACGTGTGGCGGCTGGCCACTTTGGGCCTCCGTAGGACATCCGCCTTATTCTCCATTCATTATGTAAGCGAGCCTGTGACGATTTGGAGCTGCTCAGCTTCCGACCTTACATATACCTTACCTAGACCTGTACCTGACTCTTTGTACCATTTGTTTCCATAATCACCTTGTCACCACGCACACTTCCACATCGCCACATCACCTTCAAGCTCACTCTCACCTTCAAGCTCACTCTCACCCTCACCCGTGCCCTCGCCCTCTCCCTCCTCCTCACCTTCCATACGCAGCCGACATATGGCATGCACACACGGAATACAATAGCCTGCCCGCCAGCCAGTCTGCCCTACCTTCGATCGACACGATAACGTCGAACAGAACGTACGACCAACCACGGACCGCCGAAGCGAACTGATACCGCGCGATCATGACTATCATTCTACGCTTCCAGTCCAAAGAGGGCCAGTTTCGCCTCAACCTCGAACCCAACCAGGACATATCCTCTATCCTCCCACAGGTCGTGGAGAAGTTGCCAAAGAATGTGATTCCCTCGTCGATACACATCTCGCCCCAGCCGCATGGGGCCGAGTCGCGGGCGATCGAGCAGATGAAGGGCGTAACGTTCGCTAGGATCGGATTGACGTGAGTGGAATGACGATGTGAAGAGTTAGGAATCACTGCTGACCAGATGGCAGACATGGTACCATCGTCTATCTCACGTTCAAGGAAGAAGAGGCGCCCACGTCAAACGGCCATTATGCTGCGGCCAGCAAGCTGAACGGGAAAGAGCTGACGCAACAGGAGCTTGGATCAGTCGCCATCAACACCGCCCCCACGCTAATTAAGAACCCGTGGGAGACAGTTCAGCAGTCGGAGGTGGACGATCGTCTCGACAAGCTCGATGGCAAGATCCGCCGCAAGAAAGACGAGAAGATGTGCAGACACGGGCCGAAGGGAATGTGTGACTATTGTCAGCCCCTCGAGCCATATGACAAGGGCTACCTCGAGGAAAACAAGATCAAGCACATGTCGTTCCACGCCTACTTACGACAGAAGAACCAAGGGAAAAACAAGTACGAACAGGGAAGCTCCTATATGCCGCCTCTTTCGGAGCCGTATTTTCGCGTGAATCCACAATGCCCTTCTGGACACAAGCCGTTTCCGGCTGGTATTTGCAGCAAATGCCAGCCTTCTGCAATCTCATTGCAGCCGCAGCCCTACCGAATGGTCGATCACGTCGAATTTGAGTCGGCTCAGATTGTAGATCGGTTCCTGGACTTTTGGCGAAAAAGCGGCGCTCAGCGGATAGGCTTCTTATATGGACGATACGAGGAGTACGATTTGGTACCGCTCGGGACGAAAGCGGTCGTCGAGGCAATCTACGAGCCCCCACAAGTGAACGAGCCTGACGGTGTGACCATGACTGAGTGGGAGAATGAGGCAGCGGTGGACAAGTTGGCCGAGTTTAGTGGACTGCAGCGTGTTGGCATCATCTTCACTGACCTTTTGGCACCCGACAGCCCTGAACAGGGCACAGCCGTGTGTAAGCGGCACGTGGACTCGTACTTTTTATCGTCCCTGGAAGTCTGTTTAGCTGCTCGGTACCAGGCCAAGTTCCCGCGACCTTCGAAATGGAGCGAGAGTGGCAAATTCGGCAGTAACTTCGTGACATGTGTAGTTTCTGGCGACGTGGAGGGTCAAATCGGAATCTCCGCGTATATGGCTTCGAATGACGCCGTCGAGATGGAGCGAGCGCAGCTTATCGAGCCTTCCGCGGATCCTACAGTCATGCTTGTCCAGGACGAGGACGAAGTCGACCGGCTGGGTCAGCAACGATATATTCCGGAGGTGTTCTACCGTAAGATCAATGAGTACGGTGCCAACGTCCAAGAGAATGCAAAGCCATCATTTCCTGTCGAATACCTCTTCGTGACGTTGACACATGGTTTCCCCAACGAGAGCAAGCCGACCTTTGCCAAGAACCAATTCGCGATTGAGCATAGAGATAATTTGGGCGAGCTGCAAGAGCCTAGAGATTTGCAGAAACAACTCAAAGCCGGAGCGGACAGAGTCGCCCTTGATACGCCGCAGGGCGTGGTCGCAGTTTCCGACTTTCATGCCTTGACCTACATCCAGAGTCTCGGCATTTTGAGTGAAGTAAGTCATGCCACACGTCGCCGCTCATGGCTACCACCCACTGACTGCTCTTACAGGAGGAGTTGAAACTTCTCTGTCAAGTGGCGACCCAGAAAGACGCCGCACTCGGCGCCACACTCATGCATCTTCCAGGTTGGGCCACTCTCCAAACGATCCTGCAGATGTAGAGCTATGCACATGCACGCACTCTGCACTTGTTCAATGAATCTCTCATCTTCGCATCATCGCATCATCGGGCAGTGGTATCTCGGACCGTACTAATTTATTTCTGTCATGGATCTAGGCTGGCTTACACTACTGGCCATCTTGGACGAATACGGAGCTCGGCCGGCCAAGAGAGGCGCGGTTGTGCGAGATGACGAACTCAGCAAGAGAATCAAGGGCATGAGTATGAATGGTGTGGCAGCGAATGGCAAGGGGAAAGGCAAGGCTGGTCGAATGGAAGACTCTGTCTCTGCGAGATGATGCGTATGAGAGATGGTGGCTGTGGAGCACTTTCGACGAGCGTTGACAGGCATGAGTGTAGTACCACCATTGGTGGGTGGTATAGATCTATATGTGCTACGAGGGGACGGATCTACCCTTGTGTTAATCTCTAGCTGTTGTCAACACTCCATGGTACCACGTACATGTACTCCAAGGTGGTGGCGACTTCTATCTTCTATTCTGTATGTCCAAAAGAAATTGGCGGAGACTAGGTTGTGTGTGCATCGTCCAAACTTCTTCAGTGGCACCTTTGTAATTCGATTCTTTTACTTTTCACAAATCGCTGTAACCACGGATTCGTGCGTTTAATGGTCGGATAAGTCGTGGTGCAAAGCTTTTGAGAGGTCTGCTTTGTTCGAAACCGGAAGCGTCGGTGTCGTTCTCGTTTGCCGTGCTACATATGTACCTCGTACCTCCCCTCAGGCTTGCTACAGCTTTCCACGGTTCCATTGCCGCAGCCCAGTGCACCTAGAGAGAGTGGAAGTCAGGTTAAGGCGAGAAGTGTCTTGGATCATCCTCGCACATGTCGTGGAGAAGCACAAGCACCGACCCAGGTAGACGTCTGCAAGCAAGCACAGACACTGTAGTCTCACACAAGCTTTCACGGAATGCGGCCTCCCCGTCTCGTCGTACCAACGGAAGTCTTCCCGATCCTGGGAGCTGGAGAGCTGTGAGGCTGCTGAGCAGTGACAGTTTCGGTACCTGCATACCTTGGTGCAACCAGTCCAACTTTCCACCAGACCAGCCTGAATCGCAATTCTTGGAGTGCTGGTAGCTAGCGTGTGCGCAGAGCCTTCTGAGCGCATGGAAGTGGAGCAAAATGTGTTGCACGCGAGGTTGAGGCAAACGTAAGGTAATCAGGACGGGAACCAATAGCGCGCGGCCAACAAAAAAATGGTGGCCGTGGGCCGCAAAGTGGCGTCGCGCAAGGTTTCGAATATTGTCGACACGGGTGGTAGGATGGAGGTATATGGATATTGATACTATGACAACGGATAGGCGCAGCACCAAAGCACCTCACCTGCACGTCCTGACACTCTGAACTTTTTTTTATCGAGCAACGTCGTACGGAGTCACGACTCCACTCTCCTCCGGACTCACTCCACTTCACTCCACTCTCTGACCGTTTCACTGGCTTTGGCGGGTCGACTCAGTCTACTAGCAACAAGTGTACTAATAACAAGTCTAGTAGCAACAAGTCTCGCAGACTAAGCAGACTAAGCAGATTAAGCAAAAGTACAAGCAAGATGAAGGACTTCGGCAAGCTATCGCGTGCGCACGAACGGCAGGACGGGTATGCACACCAGCGGCAGCGGGTCTTGCTTTGGTGCTGTTGAATCCTGCTTGTACTTGTTGGTGCTGATGAGCGGCGTTTACTACAAGCAGCGCAGCTTTTCTTCCCGTTCTTCAAGTTCTGGTTGTTGTTCTGGTAGTTGTTGTTGTGGTTGTTGTTGTTGTTGTCTTCTCTTTCCCAACTTCACAGCGAGGCTGTTGCCATTGACTACGTGCAGGACACTCGTTCTTCCTCTTGGAATTTCTAGCTACCTGACCTGGCTACCTACCTACCTTACTGTAGTACTTGAAGTGGCATCACTTCCATTCCCCTTCTCCGCCCGCCTGCTCCAGCGAGAAACTTGAACTTGGAAGGCTTCCAGTTCGCTGCTACAATCAACACTCAAGACATACCCATTTTCAACCCACACTCCGGCAGCCGGCAACAAGATGCTCACATTCCTCTCTTCGCTTCTGTGTGCTTCCATTGCTACAGCCTTACCCACAATCTCAGCAAAAGGCGCCAAGTTCTTCACTAGCGATGGCGATCAATGGTTTATCAAGGGTGTCGCCTACCAGCTCTTGCCTGACGACCCGCTCGTGGACACCAACCAATGTCAACTCGATGCCGCGCTCATGAAAACCCTGGGCGCCAATGCCATTCGTGTCTACCACGTTGACTCCTCGGCCGACCACGACGGCTGCATGCAGGCATTTGAGGATGCCGGCATCTACGTATTCTTGGACCTCGACACTTTCGACACATATGTCCTCCCCGGCGAACCGACCTGGGACAGCACCCAATACGATGCTTTCTCCAAGGTTGTCGACGCCTTTCACACCTACGACAACGTTGCCGGCTTCTTTGTCGGCAATGAGTTGATCAACGGTGGTGCCGACAGCATTGCTGCTCCTTACGTCAAGGCCGCTGCTAGGGACATGAAGGCCTATCGTGACAGTAAGGGGTACCGCAACATCCCCATCGGATACTCCGCTGCCGACATTGCTGTTCTCCGACCAAACTTGCAGAACTACATGGCTTGTGGAGATGACCCTGCCGGTGCACTCGATTTCTTCAGGTAAAGTCCTATGCTCCCTGCGACTCGAATCCTTCTGACATTGCCTGTAGTCTCAACGCCTACGAATGGTGTGGGGAGAGCACTTACGAGCAGAGCGGTTACTCTGCCTTGCAGAAGAACGCTAGCGAGTACAATATTCCCATCTTTGTTGGAACCACACACCACACTAGTGCCCAATTGAGAAGATTGATGGAATACCAATCAATAAGTGGATTAATTGAGGTCCGAGGTCTGACCTCTCAAGAAGAGAAAAGAGGGGGGGTGGGTATCCCCAACTCTACATACATATGCTAAGGAATCAGTGGCCCCTGTTATCTCATATGACTCATGTCACATGATGCCAGGGCACCCATGTCCTTCTGTCCAAACACACCTCCCTCAGCTTGATTACATAAGAAAAGCTGAAATACCAGACATGGTGACCGTCCATCTCAATCTAATGATCAACCATGTCCATATCCTTACTTACCTGAGCCCCAGGCTTGTCCTGAATGACTGGAATGACCCCTTGGGGAGGTTCTTTGTGAAGCCATCAGCTCGTTGCTTGGCAGTACCAATCCATTCAACGGTCAATCTTCCTGCCATTGTTTCCTGTCTTACCCAGTGTTGGTGGATATCAACGTGTCTCAAAGCCGTGTTGAGAGATCCATGCTTGTGATTGGCGATGTCCACTGCACGTTGGTTGTCACAGAAAACCTTGGTTCCACCTATGGTTCCATCCTTGACAGGTTCCCCAGATGGCTCATTTCCAGGTGGAAATACCTTGTCAAATTCCGAGAAAAGTCGAGTCCACCAGTACCCATTACCCGCAATTGATGAGAGTGCCAACAACTCTGCCTCTGCGGTTGATTTGGTGACTGTCTTCTGCTTGGTTGCTTGCCAATCAATGGCTCCACCATACATCATCATCAAGAATCCCTGAGAACTCTTCCTGTCTGGGTTGTCACCAAATGAGGCATCCACATACAG